AAAGCTATGTTTGCCCCCGAAAGTGCTTCTTGGGGGGTTACGGGATCGTACAGTTGAGTATACGACATGGGTATGGGGATTCACTCAATTTGCCAAATCTTTCCATTCAAACAGAGAATTTCGAAGCCTAAACTGTTGGGCTGTACTGATTTTCCGTAACCCCCGGAAAGCTATGTTTGCCCCCGAAAGTGCTTCTAGGGGGGTTGCGGGATCGTACAGTTGAGTATACGACATGGGTATGGGGATTCACTCAATTTGCCAAATCTTTCTATTCAAATAAAGAATTTCGAAGCCTAAACTGTTCGGCTATACTGATTTTCCGTAACCCCCGGAAAGCTATGTTTGCCCCCGAAAGTGCTTCTTGGGGGGTTACGGGATCGTACAGTTGAGTATGCGACATGGGTATGGGGATTCACTAAATTTGCCAAATCTTTCTATTCAAACAGAGAATTTCGAAGCCTAAACTGTTCGGCCGTACTGATTTTCCGTAACCCCCGGAAAGCTATGTTTGGCCCCGAAAGTGCTTCTTGGGGGGTTACGGGATCGTACAGTTGAGTATACGACATGGGTATGGGGATTCACTAAATTTGCCAAATCTTTCTATTCAAACAGAGAATTTCGAAGCCTAAACTGTTCGGCTGTACTGATTTTCTGTAACCCCCGGAAAGCTATGTTTGCCCCCGAAAGTGCTTCTAGGGGGTTACGGGATCGTACAGTTGAGTATACGACATGGGTATGGGGATTCACTAAATTTGCCAAATCTTTCTATTCAAACAGAGAATTTCGAAGCCTAAACTGTTCGGCTGTACTGATTTTCCGTAACCCTCGGAAAGCTATGTTTGGCCCCGAAAGTGCTTCTTGGGGGGTTACGCGATCGTATTGTTGAATATATACTACATGGGTATAGGGGATTACAGTATTTCCGGAATCTTTTCATTAATTACAAGGAAGGATTTCGAGGCGAAAACTGTTCGGCTGTGCTAATTTTCCGTAACCCCCGGAAAGCCATGTTTGGCCCGGAAAGTGCTTCTTGGGGGGTTACGGGTTCGTGACTCGAGAAAAAAAATGCCTGAGACCGAAACGCTTGTTGAAGGGTGGCAAGGTATAAGAGATATATAGATAAATAATCATTCTTACGCTATTTTTCACATCAAATTAAAATATAACTATGATTTTCGGTTCGGTTCCGATAGATTTGCGGTTCGGTTCCTGCGGTTCGTTTTCATTTGCCGGTTCCATGACCCCGCGGTTCGTTCCGGTTCGTGTTTGTCGATTCGTGTCGGTTCGTGGGCACACTGGGAAAGTCATCTATAAATCCGGGTTATTCTGGGGAATATCATTTATGAAGTTGTTTCTGGGGTATTCTGGGAAAGTCATCTATAAATCCGGGTTATTCTGGGGAATATCATTTATGAAGTTGTTTCTGGGGTATTCATGGGGAAAGTCATCTATAAATCCGGGTTATTATGGGGAATATCAGTTATGAAGTTGTTTCTGGGGTATTCTGGGAAAATCATCCCAAAATCCAGGTTAATCTGGGGAATATCATTTATGAAGTTGTTTCTGGGGTATTCTGGGAAAGTCATCTATAAATCCGGGTTATTCTGGGGAATATCATTTGTGAAGTTGTTTCTGGGGTATTCTGGGAAAATCATCCCAAAATCCAGGTTAATCTGGGGAATATCATTTATGAAGTTGTTTCTGGGGTATTCTGGGAAAGTCATCTATAAATCCGGGTTATTCTGGGGAATATCATTTATGAAGTTGTTTCTGGGGTATTCTGGGAAAATCATCCCAAAATCCAGGTTAATCTGGGGAATATCATTTATGAAGCTGTTTCTGGGGTATTCTGGGAAAATCATCCCAAAATCCAGGTTATTCTGGGGAATATCATTTATGAAGCTGTTTCTGGGGTATTCTGGGAAAATCATCCCAAAATCCAGGTTAATCTGGGGAATATCATTTATGAAGCTGTTTCTGGGGTATTCTGGGGGTATTCTGGGAAAGTCATCTATAAATCCGGGTTATTCTGGGGAATATCATTTATGAAGTTGTTTCTGGGGTATTCTGGGTTTGTATTCCTTGAAACAAATCGATGGGGAAAGATGGGAAAGGGGGATGCGACTCAGAAACATGGCAATTCTATCAGGAAATCGGGATTTATCCAATAAAAAAAATTGCTGGTAGGGATTATTTAGGCAGAAAAAGGAGGTCCAACACAGGAAACATACGGGATGAACGTCCAACATCAGCTATTCATGGTGGCCTGGGTGTTTTTTTTGCAACAAACGTGTTTTTCACAGCAAGACACAGTAGTAAAGCGAACAGCACTATTGTTTCTTCGCAACTTTGGGGGCTTCCAAAATGGGACTATATAATTAACAAACAGCGCAGAATTCACAGACAGGAAACATAGGGATGCAAACAGCACCAACAAGTGGTTGGTGGTTTAAACCATCTTTTTCCATCCCAACTTGGACAGATATCTCCGAATTGACTGAGTAGTTCAGAATATGCTGAAACCATCTGAAACCGCCATCCAGATACAAGAAAAACATAACAGTACCTTCCAAAGTTGGATTCAAGAAAGGACAAGCAAACCGATATCTTGAGGCTTCTATAAATGGTCATCCCACCCATAGTCTCCCCATGGGTAGCTTTTCTCAATCTCTTCGAATGAAATCCACGAATGACTCCACTTGGATCCGAGTGATTCTTAAGGGAGATCCCGATCTATCGCATATATTATATTCATATCATATATTATATATATATATATCCAGTAATATAACATATATAATAATATAACATATAAATAAATGTGTGGTATAGAATTCATATCCTACCTTTGTTTCCTACCAAATTGTTTCCGTGGTTTTTGGCAAAACGGAAGGAACTCCTGACTGCCAGGATCCAAGCCGAAGGGGTCGAGGGCAAGAAGAATCCTCCGCTTTTGGGCGCCACGACTTGCTGCACCTGGGACCCGAAGTTTGTCGAACGCCTCGAAAGCCTCGAAAGCCTGTTGAAACGTGAGGGGACACCCGAATTTTCAATAAAAAACATGGGAAGCAATTTTGGTATTCCCTCATTACCCAGATAGGGTCTTGGATACTGTTCGGATGAGATGAGATTTTGAGGTCTTTATTCGTTGGCCGCGTGGCCGCTGGATTTGGGAGGTTGTTGCTGGCCCACAACTTGAAAAAAGATGGGGCTGGGTAGTCACCACCCCTGATTTGCGCCCAGTGAAAAACGATCACTGGGATGTTCTTCGGTCGGTAGACTTCAAAGTTCTTCGGTTTTCGATGATACTGTGGATGGAAGAAATCCTGCACCAGTTGATAGGTGGTTTATCCCATTTTTTTATAGGGTTTCAACCATCCAAGGTGGTGCAGGATTTCTTCCACCGACCGTATGTATGATGTGATGGGGAAAAGGACCCATTGATTGATCCCCCAAAAAAAGGATCCAATGATCACTGGATCACAAGCCCTTCCATCATGCTTGGGTTTTATCGCTGCGAGTCCTCTGATCCAGAGATCCAAAGGGTTCGACCAAGGCTTGGTTTGGCTCGTTTCGGACTCCATTCCCGATGACTCTTGGCAGACGAAGGGGGCGAAGGTTTTTGAAGCCCCAAAACTGGGAGGAACACCTGGAAATTTCAGTGGAAGAAGTGGGACCGGTGTGTTTCTCCCTGAATGGATGATTGATTACTCAAATATCCAGCCATTTGCCTTCGGTACCCCATGTTCGGTTGCCATCGCCATTTCATCATTCTTCGCTGCAACTTAGCTGTGAAAACGCTCTGAAAACCGCATGAGCGAGCTGCGGTGCCAAGGACTGCAATTCAGGCATCTTGGCGAACGCATGTCATTGGGCACGTCTTGATCTTAGACGGGTATCCCCAAAAAAACATCGGTGACGAAGCTCATTTTAGCAATTTCACATTGCCATCACTTCCGGGTATTCCTTTTCTTGATATAGATGGTATCCATATTCCCCACAAAAAATGGAGAGCCAAGGAGTTACGAGAGGTTCGTTTCCTGGCAAAGTGGTGCAACAGGTCCATTTTTGAACCACATCCATATGGACCAATCCCGACACGATGCCTGGCCAGACGTGAACGATGAGTTCAAAACGACGCTGGTGATGGACGGAGGCCCAATGCGGCAAGGGCCTGTAGCGAAGTGGGACAGCGCCGTTGAGACATGGTCACGATTCATCATGATTCAACATGATCCATCACCAGGATTTATTATGAATGATGATGATTCATGATGATAAATTATTCACCAGGATTATCAGAAAAAACGATGATGATGATGATGATGATGATGATGATGATGATGATGATGATGATGCGCCAGAGTTTTCTGTGCCAGGGACCGAATCGGACAAGGCCCACCGGGTGCCACACAGTCATTGCATGTCAGACAGCTTCATTGGTATTTGTAGCGGGGACCTCCAACCTGTTGGATTTGGGCTGAGCGCCAAAAACAGACCTTTCGGAGACCTAAAGGCCTTGATTCAGATTGTTGAGCGTCATTTAACATATCCTTCAACTATAAGATAGGAAACAGCACTTAAGCGCCAGCAACTATCAACCACTTACTGGTTGGCGGTTTCAAATACCACTATTTTTGTTTGCCCCCTTATTTTGGATGATGATCCAAGAATGATTTTCATCTATTTTTGGGATAGGTGGTTCAATCACCACCCAGTGTACCGTTGCTGTGAAGTTTCCAGATGCTTTCTGTCGATGCCAGGCTCGGCAACACTTACAGGCGGTGCCGAGTTCTGGCCTTAGTAGCATGTGACAGCATGTGTTTACATGTGTTTGGGATCCATTTGGGATCCAATGAATTCGAAGGGTGGACAGTTGTCTGTTATTTTTTGTCACCATCATCTGGTCACCACTGTTTTACACCGTTTGGCTGTAATTTACTGTATCCCTGCTACGCAGAAAGACCATCATGGGATGATTCTCCCTGTACATAAGATATGATACGATATATATATATATATATATATGAGCAGGGACCCCCACCCCCCCACCCCCCCCAGCCAGATGGTTCCCCCCCCCCCTGTGGCAGGGGAGGGGGGGGGTTTCTCAGCAGCCAAGCCATGGTGTATGTAGTCTTTATAGTGCATATAATGCATATGTATCGATAATTAGAATGGATATACTATATGTAATATAGAGTGTATGTGTAGTGTATATATATATATATAAACATATATATAATATGTAAGATATAAATAGAATATATGCAATCTATATATATATATATATATATATATATATATATTTGACATATATATATATATTGAACATATATATATATACATCGTATATGTGGTTTTTGATAGAATATAGATAGTATATGCCACATGTACTGTATCCACAGTAGATGTAATATTTACAATATAGGTAAATATGTTCGTTGAATAAATTTTACATAGTATAAGTGGTATATTGAATATCGACAGCAATACACGGTGTATATCTAGATTTTATGTATATATATATATGTGTATATATATATATATATGTATATATATATGTATGCATATGTATATATATATGTACATATATATATATATATATACGTGTACAGTATGTACAATGTAAACGAAATATGTGATTGATACAAGATCAAGATATCAATATGTAGTATCTAGAATGTGCATCTATCTATCTATCTATATATATATATTTATTGTTTTTCTACTGTACATATGTCTAGGTTTGCATAGGCAAGCTTTGCGTAATCCATAGGTAGCAAATATGCTGTAAACCATGTGCGAGGCACGCTATAGGCGGTTCGAAAAAAAGGTTATGATAGAAATATACAGGTAGACAAGGTCCGTTGACGAGGTCGTGGCTCTCAAGTGCTGCAAATAACGTAGAGATGCGAGGTTGGAAGGGTGGAAAGGGGAGTATATATGTGTATATGTGTATATGTGCAAATAACGTGCAAATACTAGGTTTTGGGGGGGTGGGGGGGTTAGGAGTGGGGGGGGGATACCATTGGGGGGGGGGGGGGGGGGGGGGTGGGGGGGTCCGGACCGGGGCTCATATATATATATATATTTATACAGTTATATACAATTATACATACATACATACGATATATACATCCCAGATGCTCCATGTATGGAATATTTACCTACATTTAGTGCAATTTTTGGGGTAAATGTTGGTAAATATTCCATGGAGCATCTGGGCATAATGTGATATTTGGATGTAGCCTCTCTGCCGAGGCGAAGCCGAAGCTCCCATGTCCTCCCAGGCCATATCCAAAGTGCGCTCTGAGACCTGGCGGATTAAAAGCCTCCCGAAGCCTCCCGAAGTTAGAGAAATCATCTAGGTTTTGGTGAATTATCATAATTTACCCAAAACCTAGATGATTATATTCACCAAAACCTAGATGGTTTTGGTGAATTATATTTACCCAGAACTATAATATATAAATATATATATATATGTAAATATATATATATATATGTAACATGGAAATGCAACATATTTCTGTCGTATGTTATATATATACATGGAAAGACATAGCAGTTGCCATGGCGAAGATACACCGACATTAATGTGGGATTTTCGTATTGTTTATATGGCCATGCTGCGATCTAATGCGTGGAAAATTCATGGGTTTTGCCATGGAGAATGCCAGATAATGGATTGCTAGACATGTAGACATGAATATTTTTTGGAGATTGATGGAACTCTCTCTCTCTCTCTCTCTACCTATCTAATCTCTGAATGGTTTGTCCTAAAATGATGGGAGTTTGGGATACATACATGGGCAGACATCCAATTTGGTGAATGTTTGAAATGGTTTGATAGGGGATGTGGAGCAATCCCCTTGGAAAACCAGAAAAAATGAGGGATGTGTTGGTGGGTTCAATTTTTTGGCATGATTATCATGACCATCTCACTTAACCTTCAAATTCTTGGGATGAGTTGGAAACCGCCAAGCAGTTTTTTGTTTTTGGATTTCCCCACTGTTTCTACTCAACAAGATTCCCATCCAATCCATTGTGCTGGTAGGAAGGAGCCTGTACCCGCAGCAGGAAGTATTTCGTGGGTAATCTCTGAGCATCCCCGGTCGTACCCTGTCATAGCTGTCCCATGAACTCATCCGAATGTAGCTGGGGTTTTAACTAACATTTCACGAGGGTTTCTACCAGAGCTTTACCGCTGCGGCGACGGTTTTTCGTGTGGGAGAACACCTCCACGGAGATGAAAAAGGGAAGGAACTCGTATGGCTCACTGGGTGTTTACCCCGCTAATGACCCAAATTTGACACATGTGATCCCATTCTAACCCATCTTAGCAACGCATACTAGACCAGCTTGAACCCAATATGATTCATGTAAACACATTTTAGCCCCCTTGAACCCAGGTAATTAATCCCTACAGAGACCTTTGTGTGCCGGATTTGTTCATGTTGAGGATGGGGCATTTGGACCCAATCTTGCTAGATCCACATTGGGTAAACACATTTTTGGTGGGTTGATCATCTTTCGAGCGTTGGTTAGGTTCTCATTTTTGATGGTAAACCCATTATTTTTGTTGATACAGGGTGGTATTCAGATACGAGTTCGTTTTTCAAGTTGTCTTTCAGATGAGCCCTATGTGATTGTTGATCCATATCTCCATGATCTCCATTTTTGTAGGCAATAGCCCTATACTTTTTGTGGTTGTCATCTAAGATGAATCCCATTTTGGTTGATTAGATCCACATTTTGGTATTGAAGATTCGCCTCAATATTTTTTCGCGATCTGGCCTACCTCATCATAAATGATGTGTGACTCACGGGAAATCATCCCAAACTGGTCATCAACGAATTCGAAAAGCAAGGATTCGGCTGCCCAGGTAATCCATATGGATCCATTTTTTGGTTTATCTGTTTTTTTCGGATGCCATTTCACTGGTTGATCATCAGGTCCATGCAATTTTTCAGAGTTCGTGATCTCCCCCATGTAGAAGTCACCAAGTGAGTTATGTGTGTCAACCCTTTGTTAATGTGGGACATTTCTTTGTTAATGTTTGTTATATATCCACATTTTTCCCATGATATCCCCGATTGAAAGCCATGAAATGTTGGTTAAACCCCATGAAAATCCAATTATATTGCAAATTATATTCTTATTGTATTCCCATTATATGGCAAAATTATGATGGTTAAGCATCTTCTATGGTTAACCAAGCCGCTCTAAAATGCCTTTGAGGGAACTTTTAAATCAGGACAGTTTCATACTTGGGCAGTGGTGTGTTTTAGATATCTGGGTATATAACTTATATAACCTATTAAATGACATAAATGACTGGTTGGTGGTTTGGAACATTTTTATTTTCCCATATATTGGCAATGTCATCATCCCATTTGACGAACTCATATTTTTCAAGATGGTTAAAACATGTTAAAACATGTTAAAACATGTTAAAACCAGATGACCTAAACCCAGGACATTAGGAGGATATCTCCTTCCATGGATTTTTCACCTCCCAAGGAGAAGTCGATTAGATCCGACGCCAAGACGGATGCACGCTCGGAAGCGCGCTCGGACGCCAAATCCGAAGCCTTCGAAGGCACGTTGATGGCGTTGATCCTTACTGGTGCGTTTTATGTAGGGTTGCTGGATGGGTTGCTGGGATTGTCATTACTAGTGATGACTGGGATCATTCCCGAAAATTCCCTGCGTAAAACGCACCAGTAAGAATCAGGATTATATAACTATATAAAGTTATTCAACTATAATCATGATGGTTTATTGATTATACAACTATATTATACATTGAGGATTTATTGATGATACAACTATAATCAAAATTACGGCTAGTATATTATCAAGGAACTATAAACTATTTATAGTTGAGATGCAATTATCATTGTGTTGAATAATCATAATTGAAATACATATACCATTAAAATCATACTCTTTATTGATATATAATTATAGGGTGTTATACTCCAAAGAAGTAACCCCCAAGAAGATAGAAATGTGATTCATTGCTATTTCTAGGTTCGGATTTTTCATTTCGGCACCTTCTTGGTCGCTGGTATATTGGGGATTTATCACAATCCCTAAACTGGGAAATCAGAAAAACATATATAAAGGGAAGACAAGACAGAGGGTTTTGAACACTAGAACTGATGTGGTTTTAAACGTAACGCAGCCATTCCCACGTTGATGAGTTTGGTGGCTCATCATAGACTATACTCCACTCGAGGGTGGGTGAATTGTCTGAGTTTCTGGAACACTGGAGATATCTCATCTTGAGGAAACATGTGTGAAAAAAAACAAGATTTAAATCTACCAAATATTGGTGTTTATATGTATAGTATGTATAAAACAACAAGATTCCATGTGTGCAAAAAACATCATCAAAATGGAATCTTTACCAAATTCCACGCCCTGCGGTGTCACTCCCCACTTGAGGAAGATGCCCACAGCTGACTGTGATGGGGGGTCCCCCGTGACCGGCAGGCGACGAAGATTTTAGCTGTGAGCATTGGAGGGACAAGGCTGGAAGGGATTCGACAGTTTCAGAAATCAGATGATTCAGATGGGTGTTTCTGATTTGACAAGCTATTACCCTCTGGTAAATTAAGAGTTGGACCCTGATTTTATCACCCATTTTTAGTGGAAACTCATCTTTCAACCCCTAAAAATGGCTGGGTCTAGACTCATCCCAAAAGGAGGTTTCTTATGGGGGATCCCCAGTGGTCACCTGCAGCTTGTTGCAATAGTTAATTCATGGCTATGACGATTGGATGACTGAGGGTACCCCATGGATGGTTTGCCGGAAATTCACCAATCCGTTTTTTTGCACCAGTGGTTGATAATTCATGTGGATCTAACGGTTTTTCCTCTTCGTTGTGAGGTGGCATGCAACTAAATTCACCAATTCTGCCAGGCAGCGCTAGCAAACCCGCTAGGTTTGCGCTAGCTTTTGTCCCATCCATGTTCAAAGATTAATAAACTATGTGTTCCTGAAGGCTTCTGATTTCAACATGTGTTCTTCATAGGATACGTTAATAGAATCTCTTCCTTGAAGCCAAGTCCAAAGATTGTTCCTAGCACTCTTCGCAGCAGATCACATGAAAAGTTGAGATGCAGCACTTCGCACTGAATTTCTGTGCCGCTCAACCATTTTCCTTCAATTTTGTGAATTTGTACGTAATTTTACCCAGTCACTCCCAGAGAATAGTTTATCCTGTCATTTTCACAAAGGCGACAGCAAAGGCAACGACAAGCTCTGCAGATGTTGGAAAGTTCTTCCAGTTCCACCACTAGCAGCGGCTTTTTTTGTGCAGGTTTTAGGTACGGTTTGAAATATGAAAGATAAATGCAGGGTTCCAGGCTGTTTAAAAGAGGACTTTTGAAAAGACCAAACAAGAAGCGGCACTAAAATTGGAAAAACACGATTTATGTTGATTTAACAACCAAACTAGAAGAAGGACATTTGGAGAAAGCGTCGTAGTTGGGGGGTGAGGTCATTGAAGCCTTCTATTGCAATGGAAGTCCAGAGGAGTCGCTCGGTTTTTCGGGGGCTTCGCCCCCCATGGGCCCATGGGGCTTCACCAGAGATGGACCAGTTGGGGATTCGCCTCCATGAAAAATGGGGGTTTTTAATGGGGATATCGTGGCATATCGTGGCATATCGTATGGAATAAGATATGGCATAAGATATGGGAATATGATGGAATATGTAGTTATATCACCAAGCGCATTTACGATAAATGATTTTTGGGTGTGTCTGTTGCCATGGGTTGGATCTGCATAATTTTATGGCTATCTGAATGGGAATTCCTTGAATGATTCGCTGACACCATATTTCTTTTACCAAAAAAAACTGCTGAGTGGGATATTGAACCCTATGGGGATGGAGATTTCCTTTTCTAGTTTTGATCAGTAACAAAAAACAAGTTCCCCCAAAAACAGATGAACACGGTAATCTCTCAGCATTTTCTGGCCGAAATGATGGATCCACAAATACCTGTCTAGCCGAATCTCATGCACAGTCAGCCATGACACTGGGGATCCTGCGATGATAAGGCAAGCGGAAGCTACAGCCTTTGATTGGCTGATGCACTGCCTAGCGCTCACCTGGAAAATCATCTTCCTCATCGTTACCTGTTCCAATCGAGAAACCGGGGGATTCAAGCACCAGACAGCGATTCGTCAATGCGGGAGCCAGTTGAGGCTATGGGACCGATCCGTTTAAAAGGAGACATTTATAAAAGATGTTGTTTTTTTTTGGTTCCCCAGATGATGATGGTTTCGGGTGCCTAGAATTGTGAAACATGTTTAAGGGTGTAGTGTTTTTTTTTTTTAAATGTGTGTGCAGCTGCGCTGTGATTGTTGGAAACCCAAGACAGAGCTGATGAACCGTGGGAGTTCAATCGCTTTCAACCCATTTTAACTGCAAAATCAGGCCACACTTTATGTATCAAGGAGCCCCCTCATTCACTGGTTTTCATATCAAGTCGGGTGAAACCTTAAGTTAAGCAATTTGGGTTACAGATTGTCATCAAGTTGAGCTTCCACCTGAGGTTCCACCTCCATCTTTATTGTCAGCTTATCCTTCCTTCTTCTGCTCCCTCTTCGGAATCGGCTTGGTCACCGTGGTGGGGGGCCCTCAGAGATGGTCGATGTCGATACGGATGTCCTTAAAAGATGGGGGACATCATTTTTTTTAACATGGTTTCACATATGGTCATGGCTTAATGATGTTTAATGATGTTTAGCTGATGTTTCATATTGTTTAATGATGTCTACTGTTTTTTTTGGCCTTGAGAAGCGAATCATCAAGCCTTGATTAGGAAAACAACATCAAACTCACTCATCATATCCCTTCTCCCGTCCCCATCAAATCCTCCCCAACCGGGTTGCCCCTCTTGGAAGGTACTGAATCTATTTCATATGTATATCCCAAACATTGGGGTCCCAACATTGGGGTCCCATACCTAGGTTTCCTAAGTCCTGGGAGGCACCATCATCCAGCTATTGAGGTATCCCATCCCTATGGCCTGACCTCAGGTGATCAACGACGCAGCCAGCCTCCTGGGCTGTTCAGTGGGACTGGCAGATGACTTGACGGCCATTACGTTGGTGGCGCTGGGAACCAGTCTACCTGTGCCTTGGCGCAGCTTTTAAACTGGGCCAGTTACTGGAAGATCAATGGATCGGTTTTGGGAAAATCTACCCTCTGGTAATTTAACATAGCTATTGAAAATGGCCATTTATAGTGGATTTACCCATTAAAAATGGTGATTTTCCATAGCTATGTTAGTTTACCAGAGGGTACAAGAAATTATGGATCCATTGATCCATTGATCTGAGGGGTATAGGGGTATTGGGAAACCCCTATTATGGATTAGGGATTTCCCCTATGAAATAATAGGGCTTTCCTGTGACATTTCCCGAAAAAATTCTGAGAAGAGTTTCTTCTGAGACTGGCGAATCCCCCCTTGTCCCTGGCACAGGCCAACCTCACTGTGAATGGTGGTTGGATATGGTTGTCAAGGGGAGGTATCCCCCCAAAATGGTTTCATTTCAAGTTTCTGAATCACTGTAAACGTCTATAATATCTAAACATCTATAATATATAAACATCTATGACTATAATCAACATCTATAAACAGCTATAAACATCTATAAACATATATATATATATATAAGCCATAAAGGTTCTGAATCACTATAAGAATTTATAAATCCATCATTTCTGCATTTTTTTTCAATCCAGGGCGTGTCGGACACTTCAGGACACTTTGGCCTCCCGAACTGCCGCCATGGCAGATGATACTGCGGACAATTCCATTGGCAACATCACTGGAAGCTGCTTGGCTGGGGCTATGATACCCTCCAATAAGTATGGTTTATGGTAGGTATATCTATCCTTACTATGGTTTATAAACCAACTATATGATATAGTAGATGTTACCCTCTGGTTATGACTAACATAGCCATGGTTATTACGATGGCCCATAGAAATAGATGGTTTACCATTAAACATGAGGATTTTCCATGGCAAACTGTGAGTCATAACCAGATGGTAATGTTGATATAACACTGTGAATACCAGTGACGATATTTGACAAAAAATCGATTCATTTGGAACATCAAAATCCTTTTCGAATGTTTAATGATGATAAGAAGTGCAAGAAGAAGCCGCAAGATGTTTAGTCTGCCTAAGTATTTCAACTACCCTCTGGTAATTTAACATAGCTATTGAAAATTGCTATTTATAGTGGATTTTCCCATTAAAAATGGTGATTTTCCATAGTTATGTTAGTTTACCAGAGGGTACTGCAAAATGGTCATTGTTGGTAGATGACTATCCAACTCTGGGGGGTTTTGCTAATTCTGAGCCATGGCAGCCATACGGCCAATATGGGGAAAGCGACAATGCCGAGAATCAAAGCAATGGAAACGATCAACGATGATTTCCAGAATGTTTCATATGCCGTAGTATAGTACTGTAACAACAAGGATCCCTTCAGAAACCCTTTTTCATGGAGAGATATTCCCCCAAAAATCATCTATATAGCCTCTAGTAAACAAACAGTTTGCTATTGAAGCAGTCGAAATAGTGGATGACTACCCATGAAAAAATTAGCATGGTGGATCTTTCCCATCAGTTTTTGGTATGTTTACCAGGCCGGGTATTCCATCCACCCAACTCCTTGGTTTCGGCGTGTCGCCGAGGCAATACTGTGAATGTCCTGCTGGGAATGGGAATCAGCTGGACCTTAGGCTCCATCTATTGGGCCACTCAGGGGGTCACGGACGACGCTTGGCGAAGAAATTTATGGCGCCGTGGTCGAGGTCGAACTAGATAAATGGTTTAAGGGATTAGAACAAATGATTCCGAACTGTTTTGATGATAGTTTATTGATTTTCTTAGGGATGCACTGTATATATATATATATAATATAATATTTGTCATTGGATAGTCTTGTCATTTTCGTCGAAGGATTTTTTGCTGCATGGCTCGAGGAGTGGAGAAACTACCAGACTGCACAAGGGAGCTATGAGCAGTCGGAGCCTTTGTGTTCTGTCCGTTTCGCAAGGCAACTTCCGCAGGGGATACCATCTGGTTATTTAACATTAGCCATGGAAAATCCCATAAATGGAGGTTTTAATGGGAAAATCATCTATAAATGGGCCATTTTCCATGGCTATGTTAAATAACCAGAGGGTACATAGATTTTGCGAAAACTGTCATAGGAGATGACAAAGGTGAAGGAACCAGTTTTTTAACGAGAGCGATGGACATGGATATGAGCGGAGAAAATGAACACAACATACATATACATGAAGGAAACTTGATCCAACCGCTGCCCAAATGTTAGAGCTTGCACCAAAATTGGTGGACATGAGAGAAACAAAACATGGTGGAAAATCAAGGCTTCATTTTGATGTCCATTTAAAATGGGGCACCCCCAACATCTCAATATTTACATATGTTTACCGTCAGGTTTTCTCCATTGGGCCTTCAAATTGGGTGAATTGCTGTTGTTTTTGCTTCCTATCGGCTTCTTTCGGAGAACACTGAGGTTGTACTTGAAGGACAATCCTGAAGGAGGATTTATTGTCGTCGGAGGCCGCCGCCATTCTGGGATTCGGGCAGAGCCTGATGCGGACGGATTTTTGATCTGGATCATTTGTAAATGACTCCAAAAAAAACCACATCACAATTTGTCTGTCCCCGTTAAAAAAATAATGTCTATCTCATGATTCCTCAATATTAGCCATGAGATTGACCCGTCTATCCCCATTTGGGTGTGCATTGATGGTCTAGCACATTGTATAAATGTACTTGGTGGCTCATCCCACTTAGTAAGTCTCTTTCCGCGGAAGGCGCCATTTCCTTCTCCGCGACCGCCTTCTCGGTCCTTGCCATGCTCTGCGTGGCCCTGTGCTCTGAGCGAAAATTCACCAAGTTTTTAATTGGGGCGTTGATGTTTCGGAAACTTCAATGTTTGATGTTTAGCAAATCTGTTTTTTTTTTCCGGAACAGTTTGCTATTTTGAAGAAGACTTCTATGAGGATTTTGCACCAAGAACACTGGAAGCCACGAAAAAACTGGGAATTGAAGCTACCTATCTATAGGAATTGAACTATAGCAGAATTTGGGTTTAGAGGGTTCAAAGATAATGGCAATTGAACCAACAAAACACCCGGAATCGAACCTGGGAATTCATGCAAAAAACATGCGAATCCAACCAAAAGACATGGTTATTTCACCCACAAAACTGTGCAATTTTTTCGAGGAACAATGGGAACCAATTGCCCAGAAAAATTGGTGATATCGCCGGCCAATCGATCCTAAATGGAGTGCATTTGGACTACAAGTGGCAATCATCTGGTTCTTAGAAGGAGTTTTTCTCCGAGGAAGAGGATGAAACAGACAGTTTGAACCACCATTTTGAACAGCTAGAAATGTAGATTGAAGATGATCCAAGGGATCATGTCTCTCCGTATCTGTTTCTTTTTCGAAGGTCAGTGCGGTGTGGACTTTGGACTTCTTCTGAATGTTCTGGTCATGTCTTCAACAAGGTGACTAACGTCAAGTGTGACAAGATGAGTGCTGAAGATAGGTCCCAAACATAGTTTGGCTGTAGTTTCACAAGAGTTCAGTGATGGGTAACTTCGGTCCATGGGGGGAAACTTTCCCCCTTTCTCAGGAGTACAGGAGAAACACACAGTCAGTCTTGATTTTTTTGTATACGTGGCAATCAGTTCCTTCGAATCGATGGGTTCATGAATCTATTTCCTCCATAAACAGCAAACATTGACCATCAACGACTGCTCTTTAACGAGGAAATAGAACAAGAGCCTGGGTCACCTGGCATCAGTTTTACTTCAAGTGACTGGAACCACATTGTCGTATTCGTAGTGTTACTTAGTAGACAACTCTCCATCCCTCGGAAAGTCCTGAAAATCCTCAATCTTCAAAGGCACAGTCAGTCTGGGTAAATTATAACGACCTCACTGCGACCTCACTGGAATCATGGTTAGTAAGGGGAATCATCCCCAAATGGCCTTAATTCAGGTTAGTGAAATATTATAATTTACCCAGATCAGTTGCAAACGGAAGAGATGGATGATCTTCTTGGATTTTCCACCACGATTGGATCAACTCTGCGGCGACATGGATCGAAAAAACAGCCCGCGACTCCAGGCTCTTCACCCGACGTCAAATTTATGGTGGAGAGTTGGGTGGACCCAAACCTGCGCAGAGGAGCCGGTGATTTCATGCCTTTTTTTTTCATCGTCATTTCGCGAAGTGTGATTGGGACAAACCACCACTGGCTGTTTCCACAAGGAATCTAGTCAATTCTCTTTCGCATCTTTGAATCTTTGAAAGTTTTGTTCAAGCATTAGCAAGGAGCGATGAAATCAGCTACTAAGTACAAGTACTTGGTTCGGCAGAAGGGATCTGATTTTTGTAAAATGTGAGGTGCATAGCGTCAGAATCAAACTGGTCCCCAAATTGGATCATTTTGTACACTTGGAGTCTTGTACTAGAACTGTGGTTCATTTGGCCGAGGAAGTTCCGATGGACGGCCCATGTTTTTCGATGTGCATGGCTTTCCAAATGGAGCTTTCCCATGGTTTTTATTACACACCATTCAGCTAGTGGGGTAGCCTCATGATCCTCATGGCTAGAAAACCTCCAAATGGTATCAAATGGTGACATATGTGACATGTGCCTGGCAGGAGAGATAGTATGATTTGTTTGTTCCTTTGGGTTCTGCAACTTGGTGGCGTTTATGCAACGGGCTGTGACTGATGGCACCCATCGCTCGTTTCGGGGCAAGGCGTCCCGGCGGGCTGAGGTTTCTAGTGGCAAATATCGTGCAACTTGGCACCACGGGTGTCGCTTAAGGTGGGACTGGCATTCTCAGAAACCCATCAGGAGCAATCCCAAGTTGGCAAAGCCAAGGACCTTTTGATGAGAACCGGCCGAAGTGTTTCAAGCTATTTGAAGTTCAAAAAAATGATACACTTAGGCAGGGATTATATAATATTATATATATTATACTGTATATACATGTATATATAAGGCTTGTGCTTTGGTTTACCATTTTTTTTAGAGGGATACGTGTCCAAATGATGATTATTCACCCATTGCTTTGAGGCTGGAAATCTCAGCAGATTTATGAAGTTGGAAGTGAAGGTTCGAAAGCTTTATACTTGGTGACCTTACAATACCTTACATATGAAACCTCGGTTTCCTTCCGAAAAAATCCGCCAAATGAAAAAATAAACCTTGCCTTCGTAAATTCATTGGGATTCTCTATGATTCTCAGACAGTCGGAATTGTTTTTTTGTTGGATTCAACCAGTTCGTATCGTTGGATTCAACCCGATGACTGGCCGATTTTGCCCCCGCTTGAGGTACGATCAAGTCAAATGAGGCCCGATCCGGGACAAAGTGATATCGCAAGATGGGGCATGGCTATCTCTATATTATATATGATTATAATATATATATATATGATTATTATATATATATATGATTATATATAATATGGGTAGAATCATAGAATATGTGTATATAATACGTTGACACACACATATATATATATATATGTACATATGTATGCATTTTATATATTGTGTATGTATATATATATATATATATGTAAATACATATTATTATGCGGTTGAGGATAATATAAACTCTGAAGATAAGGGCTCGTGCTAGTTATACTTCAAACCATTGAAACGAGCAATAATTACTGTACACGAATTCAATAACAGCATAGAACAGCAAGCTCCTACGAGCACACTATATAAAACTATATTAAAAGGTATAAAAAGAATCGTTCAATGACTTACTTTATTTTATTGTTGGGTTACTATGGCTACTGTACCTTTTCTCTGCTTGTTCCTACCTGGTCCAGACTGTTACCAGGTTTCGACCCGCCAGGAGAGGCACGTCGGTCGTTTGAGCGAACCGCCCGGAAGGGACCGATTTCAGCGAAGCGCCCGGAAAGTCACCGCGTGCCGCGTCACGGATCGTTGGACTGAGCTGACTGAAAGATACCTGGTAGTGTGAAACCTCAGCCTGGGGGATACACAATTATCCCTATATATATATATACATACATATATATAGACAGAGGGCAATGATGAGCATTGACATATCATGAGGGGATTGAAGGTAATTTAAGCTTAAACACGATTTGGGATTATTATATATATATATGCACATGGAATTGTAGAGGTGGCAATGTATTAACGGATAAGCTTCTATAGTTGATGATCATTCCCCAAATTGTTTTCCCTATACAGCCCCCAAGACAAACAGATACTAAAGTAGAGGTGTTTGCTCCAAGTTCAGACGTTTCTTTAATCGGTGGGTCACTCCCAAAAAGTGATGAATTGAAATTGGTCTCGGTAAGGTGAACAAGCATGGATGGTCCCCAGCTTTGTTCTTTCATCTTTGTTGAGGTGTGTTTTTGGTGTTTATTTCACAGGCATTTCTTGGGAAAATCCTTTTTTTGGGGGGGGGATGAATTTCGACATGATGCAAGAACGACTCCTCGCATGACTTTGGCATGACTTTGGCATGACTTTGGCATGACTTTGGCATGACTTTGGCATGACTTTGGCATGACTTTGGCATGACTTCTCAGGCTTCGAACAGGTACTGTAGCCTCCGCTCGCATATTTGGAGAATAACAAGTCATCATTTCACCTTGAGTTCCGGCTAGTTGTTGCTATCCAAACTGACTCATCAGGTTTTTATATAAGTCTCGCTTTCAGCTCCAAAGTCGAACTGATCTGTGAAGCTCTTATTCCAGTGGTGAAGGAAGCTCCTCGTGGATTTCTTCCTGCAACAGAGCAATTGGGGGAGTGACTTTGGTGCCTTCAGCAACAACAAGTTGGGGAAGTCAACTTGGGAACCTATTCTTCAGTGGTACAATGATAACGTTTGGATATCTTCATATACGAACAGATAGAGCATGCATTGACATCCCAATCTCATCCAATTTCAATACTCCGAATTTCAATACTCAACTGGCTTTTCTACTTGGTATGTTTGAAGTTGATCTACCTGTACTCCTGTTTGCCAAGCTTCTCCTGTTGCCCTGCAGAAACTTTGGATGAACGCCTCGACCCAAAATATGCTGGGCCGCACAAAAGTGCTGGCACCAGGATTTGTGCTGCGGAGTGGTT